AGCTTCCGAGGAGAAGGAGGGTGCAAGGGAGGCAACACCCCACCCCCCTCGCCCACACTGGCCCTCCCAGCCTGGGTCTGCTCTGAGCAGGAAAAGCACCCACTGGGGGGGGGCATTTTGCTCCCCCCACCACCTTCCCCAGCCTTCTGCCTGCGGGTGGGGGGGACAAGGGGTAGAAAATCCCTCCCAGTGCCCCCCCCCCACAGTTGACATTTGCCAGGCGTGGATGGGACAGCACCCAACCAGGGAGGCTTATCACCACCCCCACAGCTCGAGCCCAGCTGGGATGCCCCAGCCCTTCCCCTTCCCTAACCCCCACCAGTAGGGGTCTGTCTGGTGCAGGAGTAAAGCACCCACCTGGGGGGAGGCAAGAAGCTCCTGGGTGGGGGCTTTCTCTTCCCTGCAAACCGGGCTGGGGCAGCAAGTGCTATGCGGGAGCAGGGAGGTGTAAGTTCCCCCCATAAGAGTTGGAACTTGGGGAGAGGGTTGAGCTGAGCCAATCCCTGCCCAGCTTACTGGGCTGCAAAAACCCTCCACCACAGGAGCTTTTCTCCTCCCCTTGCTGTACAGCTTGGGGCTAGGCAGGGCCTTGGGCATCTGTTCCCCCACCCCACTTCCTGCTGGGCTGACAGGCACAGACAGAATGCAGGCTGGGAAGCCGATACTTTAGTGTCTCAACTCTGACAGCTGGGGGCAGGGCCAGCCTTGCTCTGTTGAAGCAGACAACGCAACCCAGGGCTGCAAAGCATCCTAGGATGTTGGGGGACTGAGAGTTAATGTGAACTGGGAAGGGATCAGGGACAGAAGTTCCACAAACTGGTTTAACCTAAATCAGTTAAGTCTAATACTACATCCAACCAGGTTTATCTTAAACTGGTTTCAGCCATTTTAAAAGCCGTTTATGTGCACTGAACTTCTGTTCTGCTACATGTTTAAACCAATTTCCAATCACACCAGTTTGTGTGCAACTTCTGTTCCTAGCCCAAGAGTGGAGTAGTCCACTTGGACAACAATTTTAAAAACAGCTCTGTTGAACAAGGTCAGTTTCATGGCTTATTTCAAAATTTTGAAGTGAGGATTATGAGCCTCAAGGACATTTATAAGATCCATGTGTTTTTTACATCACATTTTTCTTTCCTTAATAAAAACAAAAGCTAAGCAATCGCTCTGGTTCTAGTTCTGGAATTTTGCCACAAAAAGCCTCTCTAGTCCATGGGACTAATTACATTTGTTTAAGATTCTAGCTCAGTACTACTAGAAATTAATGTTAAATCATTGGAGAGTTCTCCCAGGTTTCCAATAAGTATAAAAATAAATTGCTGTACTGGAATATGTGACATCTGACCTTGAACCAAAAAAAAATAAATCCCCAGAACACTGATTATCATCTTATCTCATTACGCCACCTGACTTCACCTGCAAACTGGTTACTAATGGCCTTTCTGAGGCTGATAATGCAATTCTTTAAAAGTTCCAGGAGTGCCTATGAAATCCATTTTTTAAATAGTGTAACCTGCATAATACATTTATCTACTGGTTCAAGAGAAAAAGGCTAGGAGAAGGGTCAGCACTGAAACAAAGGTAGTTACTCAAATGACACAAAACAAAATAGCTATTTATCTAAGGTTTTTTCCCCAAAAGTAGTTGTGTTGTTTAATCAGATGTTTAAATTATTAAACCACATACTTATGACAACAGATAGCTGTTATTTCTGCTTCCTTGATGCATTACAATAGCTTAATTAAACTAAATTAAAAAAGTATTAATCTTAAATTCCATCTTCCGTCTACACTCTTATGTGTAACGTTCTATTTCCTCCACTACCTCTATCATAAGAAGAACAGCTGCATGCATTGAAAGGTATAACAGGGAAAGCAAAACAAAACGGAGTGTAAAAAAATCACTAGGCCTTCCACAACTATAAGTATCTTGCTCTTGAGTGCATAATTCTCAAGGAGTATTCAGGACCAGGACTGAACTTGAGAAGCTGCTGATAGGGGTAGAACAAATTCTGCAGATCAGTACAAGTGGTCTCTCTCTTTCAACTAGCAAAAATTTTAGTCCGGTCTGGTGAATCAGCCCTCCTGCACTGCTCTTGGCCATGCTCTCCACTGTTCCTCAATCCTTCCCACAGGTAATGATAAGAAAGACTAATCTCAAGCAGGCTAAACTTTTGCCTCTTGCATTTTTTTGCTCTTTACTCTTTCCCATTCTCTTCCCCCACATCCAAACAAGTGCTATCAGCATTTAGTATTAAAAGTGCTATTGCACTTTTTACTAAGGCAATATGCTGCTCTGAATCAGCAAGGAGAAGTGTCATTGCAGTTAAATGTATGTCTAGAATTGAATCCTAAACTAGACTGCACACCTTCTACAAGAAAGTTAGTTATAGAACTTGAACGTAAAGTTTTTGTGAACTTTTTTACCAACCACATTCAATAAAAGAATTAAACTGCTAGAAGAACTTAAATGAATAATTGTTTCAGTTTTTAATTATTGGTACTGACCTAGAATAGGGGTGTCAAATTTTTTGGGCTTTGTGAACCAGACCCAGACCACAGGGCTTCTCATGGTCTGCATCCAGTCTATGGGGCCTCCTGCAGTGTAGACGACCTACAAGAAGAAACATTAATCCCCATGGTGGCCAGGACCACTGTTTCAACATGGCTCCAGAACCCAGATAGTTAGCACTGCTGTTTGCCTTCTCGCTTTTCCCTTAGCTGCCAATATGGTATCACACAAGGGTGAGACAAGGCAAGCATTAACTCCATCGGTTCTGGAACCATGATTTCACGGTGGGGATTAACACTGTGGCTGCAGAGGCCCTGGCAGCTGTGATGCGATCCCACTGGGCTGAACCCAGCCAGTAGAAGGAGGTGGTCCAGCCCACAAGAAGCCCTGCAGGCTAGATCAGTGTTTCTCAGCTCATGAGTTGTGACCCAAAAGTGGGTCACAAGAACATAGGAATGGGTTGCAAACAAACTTTTAAAAATGGATTCTCCTTTAAAGAAGAAAAACAAGGGAAACTGTGGTTTTGACCTTGCAAGCTGTTAGAGTTCCAGCCTTCAAGGGCCTGCTTGGGCCCACCACCTCCCTCCCCCCACATACCCACCCCCTGCCCCACACACTGGGGCCTGGGGGCAGGGGGCAGTGGGTCAGGACTGGCCATAGATGTTTACAAATGGGTCTCAGTACAAAAAAGGTTCAGAACTATTGGACTAGATGACCCACATCTGTGGGCTGGATCCAGCCAGAGGACTACATGCTTGACACCTGTGAATTATGTAAATAGAAAGGTGAAATGTGATGCTGGAGTGCAGCCATGTAATGAGACAGTAGTTAGTACAGGGAAATACCTAGCTCTAAGCAAAGAAGCAATGAATTGCCATTGATACTGCAATAAATGCATACATGCGGCACACACGCACCATTTATATCTGTGCTTTAAACAAAAGTTATATGATAGCACCTGCACAAGACATATTACCAAATTGGCCCAAATCCAAGATGACAATTAATTTAAGACTACCCATAATAATTATATTCTATATATTCTATAAATGTGTTATCATTTTCCACATATGGAATCTAATTATTGGAGGGATGTCTTAAATTCGTGCACCTCACTGTTGCAGCGGGGAAAACATCATCCAGCCCCTTGCCTCCCTTGTCTGCCTGCCCCCAGCCACTTGCTGCCCTCAGCTGCCTGGCCCCCTGCCTGCTCCCCAGCAGCCTCTTGCCCCCTGCTGCCTTCTTCCCCCTGGGCAATTGTTCTCCCTCCCCTCCCCATCCCTGCCACTGCTTACCCTGTGCAGAGGCTTTGGCTCTGACTCTGGCTCCAGCTTTGGCAAAGGGCATGGAGCATATGGTGCCCCTGGTCCTGGCTCAGCCAGGGACCAAAAGCAATGGAAGCTCTGAGCCTGGCCTTGGGCTCGGGTTAGAAGTAGAGCCACAGCAGCACTCCTGCCACTATATGGTCTCCCCAATACTTTCCCCATTGCATGCCCCTTCCCCAAGTTTCATGCTGCAGTTTCCCCTGCATTCCCAATACCTCCACCACCTGGTCTCCCCTGCCATCCTGGCCCTGCCCAAGACAGGTGGTGGCTAAAGCCACAGCAACCACCTACCCTGAGCCAATATTTGAATCCAAGATGAGGGTCCCCTGCCATATTAAACAGAGAAGAAAAACCCTCATTTTGGATTCAAGTAAATACTGTATATTGTATAAAGCTGCACTGCTCGGACTATCAGTCATACATATGTTAAGACAGTTTTCAGACTTAGTGCAGTGTGACTTAATTTTTTAAGCTGACAGCGAGAATAGAAAGTTAAAAATTTTCCCATCAAGAAAATCTCTCTTACAAAGTAGACAACAGCTTGAATCATCTATCATTTACTAAGTTGTCTGCATATGTCACCTTGTGATTTACCAGAACCCCCAACCTGTTACAAGATAACTAATAAGCTCAGAGTTACCAGTACACAGTCTGCAATAGTTTAAACACTACAAACCTTCTAATACTACTTTAAACTAATCCTGTTGTACATTAAGTTATTTCCAACCTTAAGTCGTAAATAGATCTTGAGTGTTTTCTGGGATTATATGTTGATAGTATAAAAGAGTAAATTTTACACTTAGAAACCCTGATATTTACACATTTAAGTTTGCAATTCTGCCATTACTTCCCCCTACCCCACATTTAAGGCACAGAAATTTAGAACATATTAAACAGACTGAACTGAACAGCTTCAGAATGTCTTTCTGAGGGCCACCTTTATTTTAGGACATAAAACATAGGGATCTGCAGAGATGTTGTTAGTCTTAGATATAAGGCAAGAGGAAAAAAGAGAAATTACCTCTCAATTTTTATAATTTAGTTATAAATAAAATACATGTTCAGTATGTTTTCAACATTTTTAGGAGTAGAGCCCCAGGACGTCCGGGCAGAACACTGAATGAATGTATTGCCAAGCACATGAAGCACAATCTTGAAAATTACCTTGAGTCAGGATATTTAGTAAGTGTGGCCAAGCTGCTGGTATACATGTGCCCACCCACGTCAATATGAACTGGTGCATTGGATTTTGTGAGTTGTGCTGGAGTGGGGATGCCTTGATTGTTCAATGGAGATGCAGGCGATCTAGTGATCAGGGGCCTTGACATATTGGGCCGACTGTCCTGTGAAGAGACGGATTTGCGTTAGTAATTTCCTTAATAAATGAAACAAAACAAAACACCTCACAAAGATGCACATTTAAGAGTGAATAGCATCATCTTTTGTCTCAACTTCCAATTTTAATCTTGTTAAAGCAAGGACTGATATGCAATTAAAACAAAAAAAATCTGTTAAGCTTTTAACAACTTCACTGTAGTTGCATCGTAAGTTGAAACGCAGAATAAAGCATTGTTATAAAAGCCACAAAAAGAAACCACATTCAACAAAACAAGCTGTTTCTGAATACTATTCATTATAGACAATTCCATACAGAAACAAATGCTCATTTTTGTATTTAAGAGCTGATAAAAGACACTGTAGACAAGAATGCTAACAATATACTTAAATTCAAAAGCAGTAGGGTTTGTGTTTCTTCCCAAACCCTTTGCTATACAGTTAGAATAGAGAAATACAAACCCTTAGCTCTTCCATTCTGCAAAGTCTTCTCTTGAATTTCCAATTCACATATCACGAAAACAGAAGAGGAAACACCTGGACTAGCCAACTGTTCATGTACTGTAGAACACTGGGCATCGACAGCCTTTGAGAAAGACATTTTCCATTTAAAAATTATACAGATAGTGACAGATGCCCCTGTGCGCCCCACGCAGGCTACAGTTCTGGGTAGCTTCCTAGTGAAAGCAAGCAAAGTAGAAAAGCAGCAGATGCTTGCTAAAGAAACAAAAAACTTTTATTCACGCAAGAATGGATGTAATGCCAGTAAGTAGCACACACTTAATCTATGCACAAAGTAGGGTGGGGCAGGGCAAAGTGATTTGCAGAAGCCAGTGAGGCAAGCTGTTTTCAAATATCTGGGATTAACATACAAACATGCTCAAGATTTGTTTTGAGACAGTTGCACTTTCTACCTAAAGAAAAGGAATATACAAGTGTGATCCTGCAAATATGCACCAAAAACTAGAAGACTTCATGAATTTTCGGATTTTTAATTTAAACAAGTAAGCAAAGCAAAAACAAAAACAAAACAAAAAAACAAAATCAGGTAACTGCTCATGGAAACATATTTTGCCTTCTAATTGCAGGAGGTAATTGATCTCCTGTAAATGCCTCACCACAGCATTCAATAACAAGTCTTTGGAAGTATGTGCAACAATCACGGGGTTAGTGAAGTTTTTTTTCTGTTTAAACATCATTTCTACATTTTTCATTGCTCTTGAAACAAAGATTAGGCAGCATGAACTAGGTATGTGCTGAGGTGGAATAATTCATGGGCCACTATTGCACAATAACATTCAAGTAAACTTTGACACGAGGCATCTGTAGAATCATAAAGGCATTTAACTAATTTTCTCTTCTACACAAAAAATAGTGAGTTTGGGTCAAAATGAATAAAAGGTAAAGAGATTGGAGAAACTCTGGTTAACAGGTATGTTATGCAAAAAAATAATATAAATTTGCAGGATATCAGTCTTACCAACAGGAACTGCTTGAGGATCTACTTTGGGGCACAACTCAAACAGGTCCAGACAAGATACTAGATACCCACGCTACACTAAACCCTAGTATCTACTATAAATCTGGTATGGCATAATCAACACCCAAGATGTTACTGATCATTGGAGACTTGATTACAAGTATTAAGAAAAAACCTAATAAAAATATATATGTATAGTTGGAGAGCTGAGAAAGAATGCAAGAATGATACAAACTGGAAATAAATGAGATAATGAATAGCCACATCAGGGATGAAATACATTTATTACGTACTTAAAAAAGCACATGATTTTAAAAGCAACTAGAGAGACTGAGATTAAAATTTAAAAACAAGTCCATAATGCAGGAAATGCACTGCGTTACCTCTCTTACGAGAATTTTTTTTGTCTGAAAAACACAGCCCTGTTACAATTTAGCACTCTGCAGTGCCACCAAGTCTGTAATAGTTTTTCAATTGGACACATTCTACTGCATATCCTGCCTCAGGGTACTCAGGAGAAAATGAGCAGATTTGCAGGGTTAATATTGTAGTTAGACCGGGACCTCATTCAGCGTAGCTGTGATAGTGCAGTGTGTACTGACTGGGGTAGAAAAATGTGCACTATAACAATCACTGCGAGGATAGTAGAAAACTCACAAACGATGGGCATTTCATACGTTAAAAATTACAAAAGAATGAGAATGGTTTTCAAATATAATGTAGGACCAATTAAACGTTTACATACGTTGATTTTAAAATCCACAAAAACTCCAAAAAATAAAAATGTTATTATGCCATACCTGCTGCTTCATTTTTCCCTCCTCACCATTTCCTTTTTCCAAGCCACCTGAATGTATTGGGCCTGAAGAAAAAATGCCCATATGCCTAATGGTTAGCTGTTAACTAGAATAATGTTAAGCTTCCTCCAACCTGACTCACTATGCACAATTCACTGGATACATTTAATTGGCTTTAACTTGGAGACCACTCCCAAATTGGGCAATATTATTTGTACTACCCTTGGCTCCTACAAAACTAAGTGGATGAGGCCCCATTTTACTAAGTCTTGAAGAACCAGCTCAGACTCTAATCAGGAACATCCCCCAAGGGCATCCTTGAGGAGTACAGCCCACAAGACAGACCACAAGAACACTTGGACAATTGTTTAATAGGTCAGAGTTAAAAGGGAAATCAATTTGTTTACAGAAGTAACTAAAATGGGGTTGATGACCCATGACCAACTGTCATAAGCCTCCCACAAAATACACAGGGGTTAGCATAAATTAAAAAACAAACCTTAAATAAAGAGGGGGAAGGCTGAAAAAGTAGTTATAACCAATGATTAATAAAGAGGAAAATATTACTGATCAAACACAATGTGTCAATTTGGTTTGAATGGCCCTTTCCAACATCAAAAAGTGTTTGTGTACCATTAAAAGGTTCCAATAGATGAACTGATTAGAGAAAATTCCTAATAAACAATCAGAGCGAAGAAGCCTTAGAAGCTAAATGCAAAGGCATCCAAATACTTCCAGTCTACCAAAACAGTAAGTACAGAAAGGATGCAAATCTGTTAGGAACCATTCCCATTTTGTAATCTTGCATAGACTTCTGCACAGGAAGGGTTCGTTCACATCTAAAACATGGAACAGGCAGAATGTGTTTTTCTATCAGTCTGATTTATAACAATGACTCCAGTAGTTACAGAGGGCAAAACACAGCTACAGCACTCTACGGGTAGCAGCAACTTGGAGAGGTTCATTTTTCCTGTCATTCAACTCCTGTTTCTTACAGATTTTTTTTAATTAAAAAAAAAAAAAAAAAAAAAAATCGAAAAAAGAAAAACTGTATTTAAATATTTCAGTTATCTGGGATGGGTAATCTGACATGCCAATATAAGTAAACTATGTACCAGTAGCAAGGTACTCAATGGGATTCATACTTCAGTCAGCTTTCAAATGATGAACTTGGATTCTAAATCCAGAATTGCATTTGTTACTGAAATTAGGAACTCCAAAGCATTACTGAAGCCTGCTCAATGGATAAATTAAAGACATGAAAGTAAAAAACAAACCAACAAACAAAACAAAAAACACACCACACTTTTTTTTTCAATATAAAAATTCAAAATCATGATTCAGTTCATTGAAGGATGTTTCAATTTTTTTAATCCAATGGAAATATGTAGAACCACCTGCTTTCCTACTGATATTGTAGAGTTTTTTGTTTTGTTTTTTTGAGAAAATAAGGTGGGGGGGAGGGAGGGTACGTGGAACAAACCTAGAACCGCCCTCCATTCCTCTCTGCTATCCTAACTCAATGGTAGAGATGATGTCTCCTCACTTCTGAATGTTCCTCCAAGGCAGGGGTAGGTAACATTTTTTGGCCAGGGTGCCGAAAAAACACGTCTACCTTGGAAGGTGCCAGAGTGCCGACATGTCGGAGCCTGGAGCAGCTGTTTGCAGCCTCCCAGCTGCAGCCAGCCCAAGGAGCCTGGTCTGCTTGCAGCAGCACTTGCATCCTCCCACCTGCTGGGAGCAGCCTGGGCTCCAGGGCTGGCGACAGCTGCTAAGAGCCTGGGCTGGCAGTGGTGCACCGAGCAAAATAGCCTTGCATGCCATGCTCGGCACGTGTGTCGAGAGTAGCTGACCCCTGCTCTAAGGTGTGCAGAAATCCTTAGGACTGAAAAGTCTCTTTCCTAAGCAGCTGTTTGAGGAACACAGATGATAGCTCTTTTCCTCCATTTTGGGTAGTCCTCAGAATCAATTCAGATGTGTTCCAGGGAGAAATAAAAAGGGTAAAGGGATTTTCCTAGTCCAAATTGAGAATCAGCAGCAACCCTTTTGGGAGTTGGGAAAGGAGTACTGACGGGAGCCGTCTCCCAGGGAAGCACTTGAGAGCTATGTCAACATGCCTGTACATGATAAAGGAAATGCAATTGCCATCAGTGGAGCAGGGAAAGTGACTGCACACTACGTACTGCCAAATACACAAAGCTGAGGAGCTAAAAAACAGGGATTCTCTCTCCGTTTTACTTTCAAGTTACAATCTTGAGTTTTCCAACTCAAGTGTCATTTTTACAATTACATTTACAACAGGGAAGTTAATTTATTTTTACTTAAATTAGAAATGCTTCCAAATTTGAGTACAAAAGGTTCAATCAACTCCTTTGTACAGCAGTATGAGCAATAGCTGCAAACAAGCAAACATAAAGAAGACATTTTAATGCCCTCAGACAACATGGCCAACAAGTGTCAGAACAGCCTAGTCCTTGATGTAACCTAGTTTCAGATCCAGACTCACTCTGCAGCTAGGAACTCGTGTCGTCATGAGCTGCAGACAGAAATCTTGAACCACAGCACAGGTAGGCTCAAGTAGGAAGCCTGTGTAAAGTGGCTAGTATTTGCTTTGGATTTGGCCAATTTGGGGAACGGTGATTTGATTCAGTGATTCAAATCACTGTCCCGAATTGATTTGCCCAGATCCAATTTGAAGATTCGGCTTCAGCTGAATCTCCAAATTGGCCCCATCCCCTGCCCACTCTCAATGGCTGCCCCGCCTGTCCCCAGCCCCCAGCCCTTTGGAAAAAAAAGCCCACACTCACTGGTTGCTGCCAGGTGTGGGGGAGGGGGCAATCCTTGCTGCCCTCCACTGCCCAGGGGGCTCTGCCATGGGGCCTCTGACCCTCGCCTGCTCCCCCAGACCCACCCATGGCTGCCCTGCCTGCCCCAGCCCCTTAAAAAAAAAAAATAAAAACCCTGACTCACCAGCCCCTCCCAGGCAGGGGGCAATTCCCACTGTCCCCCATTGCCCCATACTGCAGGGGAGGCAGGGAGGCTTTATTATGAGCCCCCAGAAGCTCCGAGGCAGCTGCAGCAGCTGGTGAGTCTGGGTTTTTCTTGTTTTGTTTTGATTTTGTTTTGTTTTAAAGGGCCGGGAGCTAGGGCAGGTGAGGCAGCTAAGGGGAGGGGCGGTTCTGGGAGAGCAGGTGGGGGTCAGGGGGCTCATGGCAGAGCCCCCCATGCAGCATAGGACATTGGGTGGCAGTAAGGATCACCCCCCCACCTGGAAGTAGCCAGTGAATGGGGGCTTTTTTTTAAAGAGCTAGGGGCTGGGCTGGGTGGTACAGCCATGGGGTGGGCTGGGAGAGCAGGTAGGGGGTGGGGCCTGGCAGGGGTACCCCCATGGTCCCCTCCCACT